GGGAGAGAGAGAGAGAGAGAGAGATTGGTTGTGGTATCGTTGTAGCAGGATCGATCTATGGGGAGGCTTTCTAATAAGAAGTGTTATTTTGTGCTGTTGTGGGTGTGTACGGTTTTCTGCAGCTGGTGATGATGGGATTTGAACGCGACAGAGCCATCCAGGCGTTCCTTGTTTGTGACAAAAATGAGGAGCTAGCAGCCAACTTCTTGATTAATGAGCAGGAGGGAAGAGACTTTGAGTGAAGAGGAAGGATGAGATGAATAACATTACACATGCGAAGAGGTGTAGATGTGTAGGTGAAAGGTGCAGCGGCCCCCATGAGCGCAGCCTGAGGTTAGAATTGAAGCTTCGGATGCTTTTTTTTTTTAAGAGGGCAACCTTGCAGATGCTGTTTGCCTGCCTGGAGGTTTGCCGCAAACCTGCCGAGGATGAGCTTGTAAGCTTGTTGCCCGAGGAGGATCTGGGGTCTCAGAACAACAGTTGTTAATCAATCAAATGGTAGCCCACGAACCCACGTGGCTCATTAGCCATGCCACGTGCCACATCATATTCAACTTGCCACGTGTCTCTTTTGACCTATGCCAGGTATCATCATCATGTTTCGACAACGGATGTTTCATATGACGTTGTCATGGTGTTCATGTCAATGTGGACTGTTGCAGTGTCTGTTGTTTTTGCATCGCCACTGCAACAATGGCTTTTTATCTGCAAGGTACTTCAGGTAAGAGCTGCGAGAGTAGGAAAGAGGATGATTAGTGGGGATCGCTATGGTGTAGGTTGGGAGCAAGGCAACTCACTTTAGGCTGATGGTCGGAGGATGGTGGAAGGAAGGAGAGATGAGGCGGTGGGAGGAGGAAAGGAAAAGAGGGAGGAAGAGCAATGTGGGTTTACCTGAAGGGGGCCTGAACGGAGAGGTGTGGCCGAAAGCAACTTGAAGAGCACGAAGAGCATTTCGAATTGATTGGCGTGCGGGTAGTCGTTGTGTAGGGGAAAGGAAATGTACTGTGTGTGAATGAATTCAGGGGAACACAGAGCTGCGGCTATGAGGGAACCCTGTACATCGTGGCAGTTTTTGCTGCGAGTTGACGTTGGCTGTGAAGTATGAGATGGTCATTAGTCAAGGGGTGAGAACAAAAGAATCTGCGCTCTGTGAGCGGAGCTGCTGCAATTCAAGGCCCAAGATTTTGATGTTCTGCCTCTGAGTTGTATCCTTGGCACTTGCAACGGAATAACAACAGAACGTCGGCAAAGGACGATCGAGTACCGTTGGATCCCTCGCACTTGCAGGGGTGTACATCATGATTGTGGGAAAATGCGCTTCCACGGAAAGCGTAGTTGATTGATCTATCCACTCCTCGTAAAGGAGGGGCAATATTGTGAATCAGTGGCAGGGGCATTGCCAGCTTGTGTGACTCACAGCAGCTGCTCAGGGCTATGTGCAGGTCTACTAGGTGGACGAACGACAACTGTGAGACTGTGTGTGGTCCCCCGCCGACCTTTTCGGTCATGCTGTCTTTTGGAAGTCCGTCGTAAAAACTCAGCGCATTGCAGTTGGAAAGGTATGCAGCTATTTACAGAGGAAACTTTGCGACTAGGTTGTCAAAGGTGCAAGGAAAGTAGGAACCAAGGTTCCAGCGGTTGGTATCTGTGTGCACGGGCGTTATTGAGTGATTGAGCCACGGTAGGAGCATGGCACTATGTCAATCAGCAATGGACTAAGGAGGGCATGGTGAATAGGAAAGGAGGAAGAGCTGAGCAAAACAAGGTGACGTACCTTGCACCGCAAGTGTTCTGACACCGGTCCTTCAAGTTAATGCCTGATGAGAAGTGCATGTGGGGAGGCTGAAAAGAGAGGCCAGGTGTAATGGCTGGAAATAAGCCCCCCTAAAATGGGGGCATTATTGTGAACTCAGTGTGGGTGCACTGTGTTAGGCACAATATCTCACACCTGCGGGAAGAAGTGGGCAGTGAGCGTCGTGGGCAACTTCACATTTCTCAAATGGGAAAAGAATGCAAAAACTAATATAGATGCTAGTAGTCGTGCGATTCCGTCTTCTCAATTTGATTTTTTTACTAATGATCACAGATCGTTCACGGAATGGTGGTGGATCTCTTCTACCGTCTTCCACCTATGAATAGAATATACTGTCATAATCACTGTAGCTAGACTGAATGTTGCACCAGAAAGATGCAGCTATAATGGCCGTACGTTCAATTCGGGCGAAGACAGTAGAGTGCACTTGAGTCACCCGTGCTACACCCCCTTATTGTCGTACCCCCTCCCCTGTACTACCCCCTCAGAAAGTACTTTTCGGGGGAAGACAGAGCGCCGTCGAGTCTTAGGTAGCAGGGGTAGTACGGTCGTAAACCCGTGCTACATAGTACAGTAGTACACCCATGCTACACCCCCGTATTGTCGTACCCCCTCCCCTGTACTACCCCCTCAGAAAGTACGTTTCGGAGTGGAGGAATGGTGGTTCTCTTCTACTGTCTTCCACTGGATAGAATGTACCGTCATAATCACTGTATCAAGACTGAAAGTTGCCCCAGGTGCACCTACAGTGGCCGTATGTTCAATTCGGGGAGAGCTCAGCCTAGTGTCAGGAAGCAGGGGTGGTACGGTAGTACACCCATTCTACACCCCCGTACTGAGCGTACTGTGGTACCCCCTCCCCTGTACTACCCCCTCAGAAAGTACTTTTGAGAAGGACTAAAAACAGCGCAGGGTGGTCTATAGAACCCCCTTGCAGTGCCCAATGCGAGAATTTCATGTGCAGGCTTGTATATCATGCATCCACACACCTAAACATCATATACTATTTATACACTATGTATAGACAGTAGAATATTTGACTATATATTATAGGCAATATGTATAGGCTTGGTACAGGCTGCGTACAGAATGTGTGTGGACCTCCCCACACACGAGTACATTATAGTACCGAATGTGTATAGAATGTATGTAGACCTTCCTTACACTTGTACGTTGTAGACTTGTACGTTGTAGACTGTGTAGACTATGAGTTGGTACAGGTTGTGTGCAGAATATGTATAGACCTTGTGTGCACCTAAAACAGTATGTATGTATAGAGTTGGTATAGATTGTGCATAGAATATGTGTAGACCTTAGTGAGTATAGGGTGAGTATAGACTCTGCAGCATGTCTGTACATAGAGTTGGTTCAGATCGTGTAGAATACGTGTGGATTTGGACTTTCATACACCTATAGAGTATAGACTACCTATAGAGTATAGACTATGTACTATGTAAGTATACACTATAGAGTATACCTATAGACTATGTAAGTATAGACTATAGAGTATACCTATAGAGTATAGACTATAGAGTATAGACTACTGAGTATAGACTAGACTTCCACACACCCATTTATAGAGTATGGACTATGTAATATGTAAGTACAAACTGTGTAATATGCAAGTATAAACTGTTGTACTATGTAAGTATAGAGATTATGTGTACGTGTGTATGCGTACATGTACGCCGTGATACCAAGGTATAGAGTATTTAGTATGGGTGTATAGAGTACAGAGCATAGACTTATGGGTGTATAGAGTACAGAGCATAGACTATGTAGTGTGCAAGTATGGACAATGCAGTATGTGTATAGAGTTGGTAGAGATTGTGTGTAGAAAATGTATAGACCTACACACGTATAGAGTTGGTACAGATTGTGTGTAGACTTCCACACACCTATAGGCTATGCAGTATGTATGTATAGAGTTGGTGGAGATTGTGTAGAATATGTATAGACCTTCTACACTTATAGAGTAGAGACTATGGATACACTTGATGTGTAAAATATAATGTAACATAGTATCTGTATAGAGTATATGGAGCATAGAGTAGAGTAAAGACTGGGCCTCGCTGCACTATTTACGAAATGTGCAAAATGAGAGTGAATCTTCCGCTAGAATATGGAAAAATGCACCCCCATGATTTTTGTCTGTTGTGCATGTCGAGAGTAGTGCAGCGAGGCCCTATGTATACACTTGATGTGTAAAATATAATGTAACATATAGTATGTGTATAGAGTATGGACCATAGAGTATGTGTGTAAAGACTATGGAGCATATACTATGTAGTATGCAAGTATAGACTATGTAGTATGTGTGTATAGAGTTGGTAGAGATTGTGTGTAGAATATGTATAGACCTACACACCTATAGAGTTGGTACAGATTGTGTGTAGACTTCCACACACATATAGCCTATCCAGTATGTATGTATAGAGTTGGTGGAGATCGGGACTACACTATGTATACACTTTGTACCTATCTTCTTACTATGGGCAGATCGGGACTTCCACACAACATATCTATCAACTAAAAGAGCGCTCGTTGTCTTCAACAAACGACAAAAATACACCAGACAAACATGAGGCGCACACTGAAATTCAGTCAAACCAAACCATTCTTTGGATACTTTCTTCTCCAAGCTCCCCCTTAGCTGTGCCTATCACGGACAGTGTGCCACATGGATGAAGTTGAGCCCAAGCTGCCCGCATTGTGGTGTGTGCCATGAAGGCCCACTTGTAGGCTGAGGAGGCATAGCAAAGTGGGAGGGGATAAACAGAGAAAAAAAATATAGAAGCGTTGATTCTCTGGATCTAGTCGGGAATGGTTTTCCAAGAATAATCACCTTGTCCCAGTGGACTTTGTTTCATCTTAATCTCTTTAAACCAGCAGTTAACATGAGCCTAAGTTGACGAAGCTGCCTTCCAAGCCTCACGAGCCGGCGACTGTGCCTTTTCGAAGTGGCCTGCCGCTTTTGCTACCGGTCCAGGCGCGAATCGATATGCTCTTACCGCCTGGACCAGTGAGAGCACTACTTTGGTTCGTGTGAACTGGTGGCTTAAACCGCCAGTACCTTTCCCAGCTATTTTTCACAGATGCGGCTCGTTAAACCACCAGTACCTTTCTCAGCTATCAATGCCGAGTCTTTTTTTTTTTTTTTATTATTGAGATGATGCTCCAATCTATTTGTGGGGAGCAACACGGCTGGGAACCGGGCGCAGCGTCCCTTACAAAAATGAAGTTCCGGGGGCATTACCGGGCTCTGGCTAAGAACAATTAAAGAGAAAGGGAAACTCGACAACATTCAGAAAATGTGTGTCAACAAGCCTCCCAACAACGAATCAGATAGGTGGAAACCTAATCAATCCACCTTCGACCACCACTGGCATGGTTGTATTCAGCACGAACCGAAGCTCCCATCAGGCTAGGTTACAGAATTGCACCGAGCGGAAATTCGAACTGCACGGCCAAAAAAATCGAACCTTGAACTGACCCGCGGTCGAATTTGGCTGGCGCCTCCAGCCATTTCGCCCTGGTAGTGCCGAGGCTGCCCGCCGACTGTGTTAACCGGCGGGCATTTGCTTTGCAAGCGGGGAAAGGTACTGATTATTTAAACCGCCAGTACTTGGCGCAGATATCGGCTGCAGGAAAAAATAGAGTAGAAATGTTTGTAGTTGGATGAAATTGGGCGCTCCTGTAGTGGCGCGTACGTTTCCTAAAAGTGTGGCTTGTTAACGGGCACAACTTCAGGAAGTACTGGTGGTTTAACGGCTGCAACTTTCAGGGCCGGTCATTGGCGGCCGTTGTCGCATTTGGGGCCTACTAAAGTTCCGGTTAGGGACCCCCGGCCGATGTGTGGACTAGGTACTGGTGGTTTAAACAAATGAGACTGGCCCTCCTGATGGTCGTTTGGAGGATGAGATGTTCCCATGATAGGAAACAATGCACCTTCGCACCCTCCTGCTGGCTGGCGAAAACTGAAATAATCGTACACTGCGGCTGATAACCCACTAGCAGAGAAGGGGCTGTGAAGTAGTCTGGACAGCATAGAGGATCCCATAAAGAGGAAGGGCCTGGTTGATACCTTCACTGCGACTGGATTGATCCAGCGAATAAAAAAAAACAATGAGAACTGGCCAGTGATGCAAATATCATATGGAAGAACTGCATATCCATCAACCAGAAGCGGCCCCTCAGGCCAAACGAGTGCTTTCTTACCCTGCCCGCTGGAGGCGACTCCCTGGCACTGGTCTGCATAGAGCCAGCCGTCGCCCCGGCTGCCAACACCCCACAGACCTGCCCCCCAATCCGCGGTCAGCTTTCCGATGCCCCAGCAAGCCCACCGCCTCCAATCCTGCTTCCTCGACAACCCCAACCCCACGCTCCTGCAGGATCCCCCCCAGCCCATCCCAATCCCCCGCCAACACCAACCCCTCCCCCAGATTCGCCGTACTGCCCGTCTCCCCTCGCAATGTCCCCTTTGATGGCTCCTCTCCTGCCGTCTTATTCTCGTCCCCACATGCGCGCAACAAAGGGATCAGCAGGGCACGTGGAACACCACAGTGAGAGCATCTGCAGCAGGGCCAGCAGGAGGCCAGCAGGACATGCCTGAAGTCGTGAGGGATCGGAAGTGGTTTCTAATGGTAATTCTCTCTCCTTCTCTCTCCGGATGCCACTCAGCCATACCTCCCGCGAAAAACGGGATTTGAACCTGCGACTTCTGGCGTGACAGACCAGCACTCTAACCAACTATTTTTATTGGTAGTTTATCTCTGTGAGCAATCGGGCACTCTTTGCCAGGTTTATCTATACTCTAGACTTGTCTCATGGCACACGAAGTGAAAATCGAAACAAGTTCATCTTCCCACAGAATGTGGTCAGGTCTATTGGTTTGTTATAAATAGCTAGGTTGTTTTTCCAGGCGCCTGGGAACCCAACTTCTGCCCGGACACCCGCTCAAGGTTGCGGGCAGCCCTTGCAATAAATTAAATGAAAAGGAGTTGGGATAATTTGCACTATACCCCCATAAGTTGAGATATATGCCAAAATGCCCCCAAAAATAATTTTGTGAAATACCCGTGGCGTCCGTCGGACTCGCATCTTTGCGCAACATACCCCTACCGAGTACCGTCGGACTCGCATCTTTGCGCAACATACCCCTACCGAGTACCGTCGAACTTTGCAAAATGCCCCAGTACTTGCCAACTTCTCCTAGGCGCTATTGCAAAAGGCC